AACCTGAATTTGAGAATACGTTATCAGAGATATCTTGGCGAAAGAACACATGAATATGACGTGTCGGGTTGGACTTGTGAATCTTTGAACCCTGAATCGTTGCAAAACGGCGAACCGATCTTCAGCATGGAAAATACTCTGAGAATATCCATTGACGTAATAAACGTCACTTGTAACCTGAAGAAACTTGATAAATATACCTTTATTCCATAACCATAAAACTAATAATATGTGTGTATGAAAAAAGGGAAAATTTTGGGGTACAACAGTAACCTCCTATCTTTTCTCTGCTAGAGAAGGATGATATCCTTTATCTCTATTCTGCCGTTACCTCCAAAGTAATAAGCATCGTGTTGATTTGAGAAACCCCAAAGGGGAAAAAGCCTATCTATTTCACAAGTAAAGCCTTACAGGGTCCCGAAGTAAGATACCAGCAAATCAAAAAGTGGAATTGGCCCTCATCAATGCAGAAAGAAGGCTTAGACACTATTTCTTTACACACACTATAATCGTCTGAACCGAGCAACCAATAAAGCAGTTGCTCCGTAGGACAAACATGGCGGGAAAAATGTTGAAATGGTCGTTAGAAATATCCAAATTCGACATCCAGTACAAAGGCAGGAAAGCCCTAAAAGCTCAGGCACTAGCCAAATTTGTGCCCAAAATGACTTCGCCTGCACCCCCTAACGGGGCATGCCGATGGACCATCTTCGTCGATGGCACCTCCAGTTCAGTAGGAAGCGGTGCAGGAATCAACCTGGAAAATAAGAGGGGATTCTAATCAAAGTCTTACTCACGTTATCCTTCCAGCCTTCCAAAAACTAGGATGAATATGAGGCATTTTTGGCAGGGCTACGCCTGGTCGAAGATCTTAGAGCCGAGGAGGTAAAAATCTTCACTGACTTTCAGCTCAGGGCGTATCAAGTCCGAGGGGAGTGTTAACTTCTACCGGGATCATGGCATCAGCCTCATAGACCATTATGAATGGAGTTTCTTTGGTCGTGGAGTGAACCGTGGTATGATAAGACCATAGTAACTCGTGGATATACTCGGCCCATAACCCTTTTGCTTCATCTAGTTTATTTTTCATCCCGGTTAGGATAACTTTGTTATCCGACTCTGTCTGCCCATTTGCCTGGGGGTGTTCTACTAAAATGAAGCGGTTGATTATTTCGAGCTCTCTGCAGAACTCTATGACAGATGAGCTTACGAATCGAGTCCCGTTATCGGACACGATAACCCAAGGTAACCCAAACCTGCAGATGATATTTCTCCAGTAAAAGCGTCTTACCTTTTTCAGTTTTAATCTGGGCCACTGCTTCTGCTTCCACCCATTTGGTGAAGTAATCGACTGCCACTATTAAGAACTTCAGTTATCTTGGTGCCACTAGGAAAGTTCCTAGGATATATGTTCCCCATTGATGCAAAGACCATAGAGATACCACCGAATGGAGTAATTCGACTGGGGTGTGGATGAATGATGAAAATATCTGGCATTTCTCGCACCGGCTTATGAATCAGACATAGTCTTTGAGAATGGTAGGCCAGTAGTACCCGACCCTCAGTGTTTTGCTGGATAAGGCCCAACCTCCAATGTGGTTTCCATATACGCCTTCATGTACCTCTTTGATTACTAGGCTCATGTCGTCTTCTGAGATGCACGGGAAAGTTCCTAGGATATCTATTCCCCATTGATGGAAAGGCCATGGAGATACCATGTAATGGAGTAATTTAGTCGGGGTGTGGATGAACGGTGAAAATATCTGGCATTTCTCGCACCGGCTTACAAATCGGACACAATCTTTGAGCATGGTAGGCCAGTAGTACCCAGCCCTCAGTATTTTGCTGGATAAGGCACGACCTCCGACGTGGTTTCCACATACGCCTTCATGTACCTCCTTGATTACTAGGCCCATGTCATCTTCTGAGACGCAGTGTAACATGGGTAATGATCTTCCTATTTTATATAGTTTATCTACCACCATGAGGTACCTTGCTGAGATTCTTTTCACGCGCTTGGCTTTGTCAGGTGGAAGTTCATTCTATAGCAAGTACTTGATTATGAGGGTCATCCATCCCACTTTTTCTTCTATGAGGAGTACTTCTACTTTTTATATGCTTGGTAACTCTAATGTTTCTTGAATCACCGTTTTGTTCAAACCAGAGCCTTTTGTGCTAGCTAGGAGGGCTAATAGGTCGACTCAGGTGTTTTCTTCTCTTGGTATATGACATATCGTGAATTATTGGAATTTCTCTATGAGTTGTATAGCCCGTTGTAAATACTTCAGTAGAACGAGATCTTTTATCTGGAATTTCCCCCGACCTGTCCGTCCACTAATTATGAATCGGTCCTGATGAATAGGTGGATTATCCTGATTTCTTTGGATAGTTTCATCCCGACGATTACAGATTTATACTCGGCCTTGTTATTTCTAGTTGGGAAGTTGAAGCGTAGTGAATATTCTAGGATCAGATCTCCGGGTCCTTCCACACAATGCCAACCCCACTGCCTCTCAAATTTGATGATCCATCCACGAACAAGACCCATTTAGGTGATGTCTCTTTGTTTTCCAGAACACTCAACTCTACCATGAAATCGGCCAACACTTGAGACTCTATACTAGTGTGCGGTATGAATTCTATGTCATATTCTGAAAGTTCTATAGCCCATGCTACCATTCTTCCAGCTAGATTCGACACCTTGCTAACAAAGTAAATCGGTTTCTCACCTGACTCCTCGTCTTGGACTAGGACCGAGCTTATGGCTTTGTCTGATACTGCTAAGTACAATATCAATGGCATGTTTTCCTTAGGTCAGACTAGTATTGAGGGAGATGATAAAAACTACTTGACTTCTTGGAAATCTTTTTCACAATCGTCGATCCACTCGAAATCGACTCTCTTTTTAATTTCTGTGAAGAAGTGAATTGATTTGTGACCTGCACAAGACAGAAAACAAGATAAGGCGGCCAAACGGATGATTAGTTGCTTGAATTCACAAATGGATGTCATGCTTTTAATGTTAATGATGGCTTGGCATTTTCCAGGTTGGCTTCTATTCCCTGATTCGTCAGCATGAACACAAGGAACTTTCCAGCCTGAACTCCAAATGTGCATTTATCTGGGTTCAAGCGCATATTATAACTTCAAATAGCTGTGAAGGTTTCTTCCAGGTCCTGAATATGTTTATGCTCTTCCCTGGTTTAAACCACCATATCATCTACATATACTTCCATGTTTTGTCCCATCTGTGGGGAGAAAAACATATCCGTTAATCTTTGGTATGTAGCCTTGGTGTTCTTCATGCCCAACGACATAACCTCATAGTAGTAGTTGCTCTAGTATTCATGAATGTGGTTTTTGGTGCGTCATCGGGTTCATACATATTTGGTTATACCCTGAATAAGAGTCTATGAAACTTAGCAGTATGAACCCTGAAGCCTCATTGATCAACGGGTCAATATGAGGCAGTGGATATGGGTCTTGTGGGCATGCTTTGTTATGGTAGGTGAAATTTACGCATATTCGCCACTTTCCAGTTGTCATACCCTAATTTTTGACCTAAGATCCCGCATTCCATCCGCATCATTGCATGGCAAGAGTTCACAAGCAATTCGACCTATTTTTGCCAATTCCCGAGTCAGATTTCAAAAATTCATAACTTCTTCAAATTTCAATATTTTGAGGGGTTATTTTTTGCATATGATTTTTCTTGACACCATCTACAATTTTTCTTTACAAGACAAGAGATGATTATGCATTGAAAAGCCACAAAAAAAGTTATTAACGTTCGAAGTTGTTTCACGAATTTAATGGAATTTGATTCTTAATTTTGGACTGTGTTTTATCCGACCATAAATTTTACACTTTCTCTTCTTTTATTTTTAATTCCATGAAAAAATCCTAAAAAAATATTTAGTTCATGTCATCTTAATTTTATTTACATTATTATTCAAAATATAAAAAAAAGTAGTCTCTTCAAGTTTCATTTAGATTTTTATTCTTAAGTCAAAATTATAGTCTTCTAGATTTAATTTAGTAAAAATCTCAACAAAAAAAACATGTCTTAGCATTATTTTATTTTAGCATTTCACTTTAATCACAAAAATATATAGTTAATATCTTTTCCTTTTAATTCTTTTAGTTATTATAATTTTCATTTCTTTTTTTCAATATTAATCTTGATTTGGTTCTAATTTTAATTCAACTTTTTAGTTGAGTTATTATTAAAATTAAAATTAATTTTAATTTCTCTTTAATGTTCATGTTTTGGAATTTTTTAGTTTAATATTTTTATTTTTATTTTTTGTTGTTATTATTATTATTATGCTATTCCTCTCCTTGTAAAAAATGTCCAAACAATAAAGTCAGTCCAAAACCATGCTATTGTCCCTATCCTAACTTTCCATAAAACCCAAACATGCTACACAACAAAACTTGCTGCTACTTCACTCCAAAAACCTGCATAAAACCCAGTCTGCAAACAACCTTTTTACTACCTTTGCTGTCCAAAAAGCTTGCCCAAAAATGAAATCACACATCCCTGCATCAAGAAAGCATAAGGAAGTTGACATAAACTAGAAATCAACTGATATTTGGCTCCAATTTTCCCTCCAATTCTATCATACACTCACAATAAAAACAGAAGCAAATGGTGAAGAGTTGAGGGGGGGTTATCACCTAATTCCTGCAATAGTAGTAAAAAAAAAACAACAAAGAATACAACAACACCAGTGAAACTCCCATTCAACATCATTACCAACCTGCCATCCGTAGACCCTTCAATTCCTCTTCATCTTCCATATACAGTATCAGATAACCACATAACTCCCGCGACTTTCTCTTTATCCCTTTGTTCAACACATAACTCACTGTAAATCTTCATCCATCATCTTCACGTCTCAAAACTACCGTTGCACCACCCTTCAACTGCAATTATTCCTCTCATATCAAAACTTCTGAACCGTAATTCCGGCATTACCTTCTTCACTCATCTGTGAATGCTCCGCCTAGCTCATAATCCATCTCAGCAACTGCACGATTTCCAGTTCAGTCTGTGACGACAAAAAAATTTCACGCTTCTGTCTCTTACAGCAAACCAGCTTCAACCAACCGATGCCACCGTGACCACATCACCAACCTCTCCTTTATTCCACCTTCATTTCCTCTCTTCTAAACACCAGCAACCCTCACTATCACAGCAGCTCCTCCCCTGTTGAAAAATCCCTCCCAACCTTTTCAGAAATTCTGCAAAAAGCATTCATAAAACCATCAAAATTGTTTCCAAAAAAAAACATTGTAACAACCATTATCACATTTTGAACCATTATTACCTTGTTTCAAACCTCTCAACCAAGCCTATAAAACTCTTACAGCAATAACAAAACCACAGTGACAGCCTCCATTTTCTACTCTTACACTAAAATCATAAAGTTTTAATCCAGATTCGCAGAATAGAAGATGAAGAAGTGAATCGAGAAGCAGAAGCTGAGAGATTGAAGGATTACTTGGGGTTGATTCTCGAAGCTTACAATCGCATAACGCTGTTATTGCTTACAAACCCCCAGCGAACTACTCTTTTGCCATACGTGCTCATTCGTCCTGAACACATCTCAGTGGCGCCAACGGAGCTTGTAGTTGCCATTATTGTCGTCACACACTACAATTCACTGCCATCGTCGAAACTCAAAGGTATAGATCTGTGTTTATCTTTTTATATTGTTTCTGAATTTGAGAAATATGTTGGGTGTTTGTGTATGATGGAACATATTACGATTTTTTTCGAAAGTGGATAGAACAGAGAAAGAAAAAATGAAGGGTTTGTTTTGTTGTTGGTTCAAAGCGAGAGGAAGAGCAGAGGAAGTATGGTTTCGGTTGAGGAAAAGATGGAGGAACTGAGGGGATACGGTTTTGGTGGAGAGAAAATCGAGAAAGATGGGGATAATATATTTTTGGTGTCAATTGTTTTATTGGAATAACAAAAAAATAACTTCCCTCCCCTTCCCAAAATCATGAAACTCCGGCGCCTCCTTTTTTCTCCAAGCTAGGGTTCCAAAAATTCCCCAATCCCTCTTGGTAACCTGGATTCGGGTTTGGGCCTAGCCCAACCCATTCCACAAGCTTTGTGTTTTATAGTTTTAATTAAGAGAATATAATGAATGAACAGTTTGGTGTAGTGGCTGGAGTTTGTAAGTGAAACACATGAGGACTTGAGTTCGATACTTGTGTGAAGCAGCACTGTTTTGTTTTAATTTATTTATTTTTTATAAGCATTTATAGGCTTCAACTCAATCAATTTTTCTAAGCCCATTTAAAACTGTTAATACCCAACATCGCCCACCCCTCAGTTTCTGTTCCACACCTCTTTCATAAGTAATTTAGTATAAAGCTAGAATAGTAATCTTAAAATTAATTTAGTTTTGATTTAAGTTAGTAATTTTATTATTAATATAGTTTAGATTAAATTAGTAATTTTATAATGAATTTAGTTTATATTTAAATTAGTTTAGATGTAATGTAGTAATTTTAGAGCTTTAATAGTTTTAGAATTTTATTTGATTTAGATTTAGTTTAGTAACTTTGGAATTTTTATTTGTTTTAGATTAGTAACTTGAAAATTTTCATTTGATTTAGATTTAATTTAATAACTCTAGAATTTTTATTCGATTTAGATATAATTTAGTAACTTTAGAATTTTATTTATTTTAGTTTTGACTTAGTAAACTTTAGAATTTTTTGTTTAGTTTTATTTTAGTAACTTTAGGATCTTATTTCATTTAGATTTGACTTAGTAAACTTTAGAATTAGATTTTATTTCATTTAGATTTGACTTAGTAAACTTTAGAATTAGATTTTATTTCATTTAGATTTGACTTAGTAAACTTTAGGATTAGATTTTATTTCATTTAGATTTGACTTAGTAAACTTTTAGAATTTTATTTGATTTAGATTTAGTTTAGTAACTTTGGAACTTTCTTTGTTTTAGGTTAGCAACCTTGGAATTTTTATTTAGTTTAGATTTAATTTATTAATTTTAAAATTTTTAATCTAGTTTAGATCTAACTTAGTAATTTTAGAATTCTAATTTATTTTAGATTTAATTTATTAACTTTAGAATTTTAAGTTAGCAATTTTATAATTTTAATTTAGTTTTAGTTATTAACTTTAAAATTTTATTCAATTTAGTTAGACATTTTAGAATTTTAGTTTAGTTTACTTAGTAACCTTAGAATTTCAAATTAGTTTAGATAATTTTTTAATTACACTTTTCTTTTATTCATGATTCTTCTTTGTCCATTCATTTAGTTTCTTACAATTATCTTGTTATCTACCTTGTTCATTTCTCGTGGATTTTTAATTATTTATGATTTCTTACTCGAATATTAGATTTACCTGCTTATGATTAACTCCAAGGAAAAGATTTAGATTTTGTTGACTTCATGTCATCGAACATATCTCATACGATTGTGCGAATACCCTCATCCATTTTTTTGCTTATTTACTATTTTTTCAAACTTAAGATAATTCTCCCAAAAGACTCTATTTTTAAACTCACACCTTTTAAGTCAAAACTTCGACACTAGGTCGTCGTATCTTCAAAAATATCGTCCATACCCATCTTTTAGCCAAACGAACCATTTTAATCAAACGAACAATTTTAACAAAAAACAGATATTTCAAAAAGGTTCCTGCGGAGTACCGCAGATGCATTGGGTGCTAATACCTTCCCATTGTATAACCAACCCCCGAACTCACGATCTCTTTCAAAAACGCATTGTATTTTTATTACTTTTAAGTATTATTTTACATTGCATATTTTAGGGTTTTATTTCGCTCTTTTCCCTTTTCCCTTGGAAATAATAAAGCGCGGTGGCGACTCTTGCTTTTGTGAGTCGAGTTAATTAATAGCTCGATCTCCGATTTTCACCGCTACACCAGTTTTCTTCTTCGACTATTGATTTTCTCTTTTCTTCGCCGCCTTTTCTATTTCAATGGGACACTGGTTTCACCCCGGGGTCAAGCTCCAAGTGATGACACAAGATGTTGGAGTCGATTCCGGGCTTGTCTGACAATTTCCAGGCGAATAAATTGATATTTCTCTTCAGGATGTCAACAATCTAGGCCTCCTCCTCTACTGATAGATTAGTTCCCAAGTGGGTGATTTCTTAATATTGGAGGGATATATGAACCTATTTGGTTTCTTCTTGAGGAGCTAGACTATGTTCTCTGGGATCTTCCCGGGGGTCAATATCGACCATGTTAACCTTGTGGTTGTCTGCTTCTTCCATAACTGTGTTCTTCTTTCTCAGTTTCAGGATATCTTTGTAGCACTTTCTTAACATGCCTTGGTCTCCTCACATGGTTCCTACCCGACCTTGCTGAGAGGATACTTCATGGTGAGGTAGAGGGTTGATAGTGTCGCCTCTAGTGCATTGAATGATGGCCTACCGCTTATGATGTTGTAGGGGGGTTTTGCATTGATGATCATGTACCTTACTCTAACTTATTTGGCATTTTCCTTTATTCTGAAAGTGATTAGAACTAGAAGGTTTCTGAGTACCTACACATGTTCGCCGGAGAATCCGACTAAGGTTCCGTTGAAGGGTAGAAGTTATTTGGGTCGAAGTCCATTCCTTTGAAGGCTTCCCAATACATCACTTCGGCTGAGCTTCTGGGGTCGATTAGTAACCGTTTGATGCTCCAGTCACTGATCTAAAATTTAATGACCATGGGGTCATTCTCATGTGGTAAGATTCCTTCCGCGTCTTCCTGGGAGTAGGTGGCACCCCCGTGATCTCCGTCTTTGTCTGTCCACTCTACTTGGGCCACATGTATTATGTTTCGAGCATACCTCTTCCATGCCGAGCTGGTGGAACCCCCTCCAGCAAATCCTCCAGATATTGTGTTGAGGGTGTGCCGGGTGAGTCCCATTTCTCAAACTTCCTCTGTCTCCTTCTCCTTCTTTTTTGAAGGGAACTTTGAGGAGTCATTTCCTTTGGGAGGACTTCGTTTTTCGGCCTTCTCGGCGTTGTCTTTGACATAAGATAAGAGTTTTCCTCTTTGGATTAGCCTCTCAATTTCCTTTTTCAGTAGTTGGCAATCCTCGAAGTGGTGTCCCCAGATTCGGTGATACACACACCATGCGTTGAAGTTATCACATATGATTGCATTTACTCCCTTGGGGCACCACAGTCTAGGTAGTAAGTTGAGGTGATTCACATCCTTCCATATGTCACCTCTTCTGGAATTTAGAGGGTTGAGGTCTTCGTCTGAGACCAAAGGTCGCCGGGATGATCGCTGGGGGAGGTCGTTCCTGAGGTGGGGGTCGATACGCAACCTGCTCTGTTCCTACTTATGGCCAGATCTTTCTTCCCAGGTCCTCCCTTTTTCCCTAGCGTATCTAGTTATTTTCTCCATATTGCTTTCTTCTACCTTTACATAGTGTTATGGACTGGCCCAACGACTAGAATGGGTCCAGTCTAACCTCCTCCATCAGCACGGCCCGTGCAACCACTGCCCAGGCTCCCCCGCCCTCTGTCAAGAACCATCGATCACCTGTCCTCCTGGACCAGCATTGACCTATGACAATCGACGAACACCCATCAGTCTTCCAGACCTTAAGTCGACCAGACAAATAGGAACCGACCAGACTACTGCTCATAACCTACCTCCTCCTCGGAACTAACGACTAGTTGGCAGGCACACCTGTGCAATTTGACCAAGTCTTGGGAGTTCCCTATTTTTGTGGGCCCACATATCTAGGCCCAAAAATAGGGACCAATGGCCGAGCACCAGGGGCACTATATAAACCCTCACTCATGTGAGGGCAAGGGATGGAATATCCATGATTCATCATTAAAACCCTAACACTTTGCTTGTATTACTTTTTTCTCCGACACTTACTTGATCATCGGAGTGCCTTGCAGGTACAACCCCCCTTTTTCCTCCTCGACTTTCCAGCCTATCTGAAGATCATTATCCGGCCACATCGTAGGTTTTGATCAACTAGTAAGATCAGTGGCGCCAACTGTGGGAACTATATTCTCCGTTTTTCATTCCTAGAATCTGAAGACCAACGATCCTCTCCATTCATCAATCATGACCGATCACGGTGATCACCACCTATCTAGAAAGACCGTGCTCTCTGTGGCACGTAAGACTGATGGAAGCCAAGAACATCCTCACCTCGAGGATAACTTCGGCGCCCGTGACGGACATAACGCACCCCCGGATTCCATCGACACTAATTACGAAAACAATCTATTCTTGGACGAATAATTTCCCAAGAACCCTGTCGAAGACCAGCCAGAGATTCTACAATCGTTCTGTGTTCCGCAGAACACTGACCCGACCATAGCAGCATTGATCACTCCCTTAACCAAACCAACTTCCTCATCCTCCAGCTGAGCAAAAGGATGGGGTTTTGGAGCGGAAACAATCAAGGTACCCCCTCGGAGACACTGACGATATAACACCTCCAGCATATCACCTCCCCGAGAGGGGCATCCTCTAAGAAAGGGAAAGCTTGACGTTTCTTTCTGCAAGAAGCGTGATCGAGCATATTCCAAGAAGGATAAAAAGTCTCCTCTTTTCAAGAAGACGAAGAGCACCTGCAAAGACAATCGTAGCAGGTCACTATCACCCAAACTGAGGCGACAAGGGCGGAGCCCCTCCCCTCGACGAGATGACAATGCTCAGCGAGAAAGAGAACATCATTTCGCACCATCATCGCTAGAAGAGACCGATGACAACAAGCCATGTGGCCTATTACCGAGAGAAATTATGGAGGCACGAC